CCCTTACATATACTGTAAAGACTTGGTTCGGCTGGTTGGAGTGAGTGAAAGGGGTTATATTTGAGGATACCAAAAAAGGAAGAGAGAGAAAAAATGTCGGTGAATAAAAAAATGCCATTGGACAGCTGCATCAGTAAATGTGTGCACTTGGAATTTGTGATCTTTCATCTATAGAATAAGTATATTTTCTTATCTTATATTGGTAATGGAAAGGTCGATTTATTGATGTCTGTAACATGCCTGAAATGTGCTGCATGGAATAAAAATATGATGCAAAATATGATTAACGAACTAATAAGGGAGAGGCGTGCTTTATAGCAAGAGAAAAAAGATAAGTAACTATGTAATCAAAGACTAGTTCTGTTATAGGTTTCTCATGACAGTGTTAGCCTCCGGACTAGATCCTACAATGGAATGACAGCCTAGATTGCAGGTTCACTTATCTTTTTTTTTTATTATTATTATTATTTAATTTTGTTAAAGCATTCTTAGGAAGCATGTCTATGTAAAGATGGCTGGACTTCTGGATGCTGCCATGTAACTGCCATGGTGTTTTAGTTGTCAAATTTACTGTTCATAGATCTGTTTCTGGGGGCATCCTCTCCCACTGGAATCATCTGGTTTAGTTTTTCAGCCTTAATACTAGGTTTGTTAGCATTTTAATGCAAATATTTTATGAAACATTATTTTGCACATACTCCTTTTGGCGTGGTTGACTATAATATGCTTAATTCATAATATTCTTTGGGAGCCAAGGAAGCAGTGATGATGTTAAGTCTCAGTGGCCACGTCTGCATTAGATGCTGACTGCACAGTAGCGTCACGTGGCAGAAAGCGTGATGCGACGCTACTGCGCAGTAGTCTCAGGCTACTGCACAGTCAGCATCACAAAAAAGTTGTTCCTTGTCACTCCTGTGCAATAACTTGGGTTACTGGGCAGTCATTTAGGGCTTGTTTATACAAGTCCTAAATGACTGTGCAGTAATGACTGAGTAGTCAGCATCTTGTATACACGTGGCTAGTAAACAGCAGATTAGCAGTTAATAAACTTCCTGACACTTCTGTTGACATGATAGACTGTATAAAACTCCATAGGAACTAGTATGCTGTCAGTAAACCTGGCTTATACAAATTGTACTTATATTTCTGGGGAGATCTTTGAAGAGGGAGGTGCACATGGGGAGGACCTAATTTTTTAACTACTATTAATAAAAAGGGAACTTGCTGTACAGTACTGATACTGAAGAAACAAGCATAGGACAGTTCAGAGGGTCTGATTCTGTGTGCATTTTATAAAGTCATTTGCTCCTGTGCATAGCAAGTGCAAAATGCTGCAAAGTCACAGGGGCAAATTTCAGCATGGGGTGTATGGGAACAATGAATCATGCCTCTCATCCCTCTCTTTAATGTTTATGTTAACATTCTGCCATCATATTCTAATATATATGGGTCTCATCCCCGATCTCAGTTATTCTCTCATGACTGATCTCAGTGATGCCGTTCTCCTGATTTACTCAGGTGGGGTGAGAATAGGCCCCTGTGGTATGTAACAGATCTTGCCAATACAGAGGAAGAATGGGCTAGACTAAAAAAGATAGTAGAAGCATTAGTATTTCTGGATTCTTTGGACAATTAGTATTTCTGGATTGACTTTGGACAGTTACAGAGAGGACGTCAAATGTTTAAATTTCCTGTGTCTGTTACAAGCTGGCTCCTGATGAGTATGCTTATGCACCTGCAGGTTACTTTTTAGCTAATTTATTTTACAAAAAAATTCAAAAGATGGTGCTTGTCCATAATAGCTTAAAGGTAAATTTCTTAAAGGTTAGAATTTAAAAACATGACTTGACCTAAGATGCATCATGGCATTATCCTCAGTAAATTAAATGTATTAGGGTGTTGGGAAAGGAATGCTATCTCTAAGCATCAGGCAGGAAGAAACTGCAGTTGAAAAGCCTGCTTCCCTTGGGAGAGATCAGATATCAGACTTGCAGAGCATCAGGTCCAGCCCAGAAGGCTGCCACCTACACCCCCATCCCCATCCCCATCCCCATCCCAGCTTTGTGAGATTGCTACAATCGATTGCCATCTTCTCCAGGCTAAATACTGGAAGGGAGAGCGAGAAAGAGCGAGAGAGAGAGCGCACAACTCCTGCCTGCCTTGGCTCCCTTGATTTGATGGCCTTTATTCTTTCTAATTGGATAAAATAGGAAGTCACTGGCAGTCCTGTGTTGCTGGGTGTGCTGATTTCCCTCAGACCAGCCCTGCGGAGGGGTGGGGGTGGGGAGAGAAAGGAATGAGCGTGTCCCTGTATCGGAGAACCGTGCTGTTGGGGGAGAAGAACAGAGGAAAGTGAACGAGTGCTCAAGAAGGACAAAGAGGGAAGGGGTTGGGGGGTGGGGACAGAGAGAAAGGGAGTTACCATCTTCTTGGCATTGCTCTTCCTTTCAAACCTCTGTGTAATGATATTGTTTGCAGTGATGCTCAGAGAGCCGGCACCTGCTGCTCTGTAATGATTCAGCCTCTTTCAGCCCTCGCTTTAATACAACAGGATGCTGTTGCTACTGTCGCTGCTGCCTCTACCGCTGCTACTGTTGCCGTTGTCACTGATTTTGCTTTTGCTTCTATCGCATGACAGTTGTTTTCCTCATCTAAGCAGACACCAGCCTCTGATGCTCAAGGTGAGAAGCCAGCCTTTCAGTCTGGGCTACTGGTTCACTTAGTCAAACAATTTGATCCTTGTTTTGGGGGTTTTGGGGAATTTTTGTTGTTGTCTTGTTGTTTTTTATCCCCCACAGAAGAGCTGGGATGGCTTGAGAGGCATTTCAGGAATTATAAAAGTGGTCAGGAGACAGGAGCTTGATAATTACTAAGCAATTCTATGTCTCGGGTAATAGAGGAGAGGTGGTTTTTTTAACCTTCTGGAGATTTGGGTGATGATCCTGAGCTCGGACACTTTCCTGGCTCCCACTCTTATGATTTTGCAGAGCTGTGTGATTCTTCTTTTTCTCTGTCTCCTAGTAATGGACTGCGATAGAGTTACGGTCTGTCTCTTGGAGGTGAGCTGGGTTGAGCATTTATGATTTAAATATGTCTGAAGTAGCTGCAGAGACTTCCCCCAGCCCCTCGGCTCAGCTGAGCCCCGACGCATCTCTTGAGGGGCTCCCCACTGAGGAGGACATGCCAGGGACCCAAACGGAGGACAGGAGGGGCCAGGGCATAGCAAGCCTGGCTGTTACCTGCTGTGTATGCCTGGAGGCAGAGCGACTGAGGGGCTGTCTCAACTCAGAAAAGATCTGCATCGTCCCTATTCTGGCTTGCCTGGTCAGCCTCTGCCTCTGCATTGCTGGCCTTAAGTGGGTGTTTGTGGACAAGATTTTTGAGTATGACTCTCCTACCCACCTTGACCCTGGAAGGATAGGACAAGATCCAATGGTTTCTGTGGATCCTACTACACTGTCTGCCTGGGTGCTGCATACCTCCCCTTTCCCAGCATCAAGCCCCGAGAGCAAGGTTGAAGTGACAGTGCAAGCTGACAGCTCACTGGTGCCCTCTGAGCCTTTTCTCCAGCCTTCTCTGTATAACCGTATCTTAGATCTATCCCTGTTGTCCTCCATGGCACCTTCGCTACCTCCACCCACCCTGGACCCTGAGGGGAAAGAGACAACCACAGCGTCTCAGGCACAAGCCACAGAAACTAATCTCCAAACAACTCCAAAACTTTGTAAGTAGAAGCTCATTTTGGATTGTTCTGCATCTTCCCTTTGCACATGATGTTGCATGTTTAAGTTCAGACAAACTGAGGTGCGACTTGTGTCATTCTCTGAGGAGTGCCCCAAAGATCTTTAACACTTGTGCTAAACAGACATGTCAGGGAATGGTGTTTGGTGGTACTGCTGTGCCCAGAAAGTGCATTTAAAAGATGTGTCCAAGGGCAGTTCTAAAGAGGGATCTTTGCAAGTTGTTTCACTGCATACTCCATACAGAATGATCAGCTGATTTACATTTTCACTGGCCTCTTTTTTACAGGAGCAAGCAGGCCATTTCACTGATGAATTCTGGTTGCATATGGCACTGAATCCTGTGCGCTTGCTAATATCTTTGCTCTGTCTGCAAAGCACTCCTGCTTCCTGTGTTTTATTGCTGACATATGTCCTTGTCATCTTCCTGGGGAAGTGAGGGATTGCAGAAGAGAAGGGTTAACTGTACATTTGTAACAACTCTAGCCAGTTCAGAGTTAATTTAGCTGCCCATTGCAATTTTCCTTCTCTCCAGATCACAGTACAAATCTACACACATTTCTTTCTTTCCCCTCTTAAGGAGGTGATCCTGCTGAGCAAGGCTCGTGAATGTTTTCTCACTGAGTTTGAAGGGATGACTTTTGAAGTGCCTGCAGAGAGATGCAGAATGGGGACCCCACACTGAGCCTCTCTTAAGCCCTTTAAAAATCATGGAGCCAGATAATTTTCAGCAAATGAAATGATCAGTTGCTGGGAGAGAATCTGTTTGGCACTCATCTGTCTATCCTGTTAGATTGGAGCAAGTCCGGATCCCAGTCCACAAACTGCGTAAAATTGTGCAGCTTTTGCTAAAGGAAAAACAGCATACTGCTGTGCTAGAACATGGAGCTGGTGCTTGTGAGAGAGTTCTGCAGTGGTGAAAACTGGCAACTTTCTCTGTTGTAAAATTTCCCATAAAGGAAGATGTTTCATGATGTAATGTAGCAGTGCGACTGTGTGGTGATAGATACATATTGGACCTCATCCTGATACTACTGAAGTCAATATCAGTTTAGCCATTGAATTCAGTTAGGGTCAGTGATTATTTTGGATTACTTCTACTACCTTTTATTTTATCTTGTAATTGATCATGAGTCAGGTCCTCAGCTGGTGTTAGTGCTCTTTACTTGAGCAACTTCAGTGGAGCAACACCCATTCCATCAGCTAAGCATCTGACCTAAATAATTTAATGCTAGATGTTATTCTAGCATTTTGGAAAGGCCATTTTAAAGATACACCTTCAGAATTCTGCCACCTTTGGCTTTGATAGCATACCACCACTAGCTGTTAGGTGAAAAGCAGCTTTTCTGAAGATACTGGTTTTATGAGAAAACATCACTGAAACTTCATTTGTTCATTTAAAGGTCAGCCAGCAGACTGTTGCCTGAGGTAGGGGGACCACATAGGCCTCTGTGCAGTCATGACAGTTATATGAAAGTTTTCTTTTTGTCTCCCACAAGTAATTAGTGCAGAAACTCTTCTTTGCAGAGTTATCATCTGTGTGTCTCTTAAGTGTCATTAAAGATACCACAGATGTCTTTGAAATCTCCCCCCTTGCTACACCTGGTATAATGGCTAGAGACTACCATCCAGCTGAAATTATTTGCCAGGGAGCAGGGGAGGACAGGGAAGTACATCAAGAGCAAGACTGTGTGCACAAAAAAGAAAAAAAACCTACAAAATTCTGTATGTTAAAAAAGGTCTTTTCCTTCCCTTGATCATTCAAAGCCTGAAGAAAATGAAAAAAGATCATTTTTTGAGCAGCCACAGGCAAAAAGCCATTATCTGCATTCAAGTTTATTTACATGTGGGAAATAAATGGGGATCCAGGAATTCTTTTCTCTTTTTCTTTTAAAGATAGATATCTACTAAGTGACTTCCAGGCACATACTGATAGAAAGGAAGAGGGGGTGGTAGCTGATTTTATTTGGGTTCCATTGTATGGGAAAGAATTACTACTGCCTAAAAGCCTCAGTGAAGCAAGGTTTTTGAGGCATCAAACATCCCAGTTTTCCTATGGAAGTAGGGTTAGAAAAGCAAGTTGCAAAAATATTGGCTAGAGAGTTCAAAGGGGCATAGAAAGAACTTTTTGGAACCCTTTATAATGTCTCAATAGTTTTACAGCTGTATTTCAAATATGTTCTTTTTTATGAACAGAAAGGATTGTTGGAAAGGTTGACAGATTCTGATCTATGCCAAGTATAAAATTCTGGGAATGATATCCTGAGATGTAACATTAGTAAATTGGATTGCCCTATTATGCATATCAATCTTTCTCCCTTTTTCAGACATCACTAAGTAATTTATTCACAGAAAGCGCATGAGCTTTCCCTCTTGCAGTGATAATTTTTTTGTCTGGAACGAAGTAAAAACTGTCACAGCTCATGTTTGGTCACTTGCATATCATTTCTCAACCAGACAGTCTGTGGGTCTCAGAATCCAATTCTCTTCTTCTCTTTTCTGTCTAACTCAGCATATTTTGTTTAAAGCCATATCCTTCAAGGTCACAGTCAGTCAGTTGTGGGCTAATTGATTCTTTTTATCCTGGAGTCTAGGATGGAAAGTAGGAGAGAGACAACCCTAGGAATTGTTTCTGGTTGTGTTAGTCCCAAAATCAGTTTAACCTTCTATTATCATACTTTGTATTCTATTGAAACAAAAGCAAAATCTCCCTTTCTTCTTTTATGGCTTTACAGTTTTCCTTTGCTGAACCAAAAAGTAAAAGCTGGTATTTTTAAGAGTTCACATATGTAGGAGGCATGCCGGTCTTTGCTCAATTATATACAAGGATGTTTCATTTACATGGGTATATATAGTATGCCTTAATAAACAATCTAAGCTGGTTAAATCACATTGATCTTAAAAATGCTAATATGATGCAGGAGTTAAATTAACCTTGTTTCCCCCCCACCTCTCATTTTGAATGCAATCCTGTAACTATACCTCAAGTACTATAATAGTTACAGTTTTCATAGTACTATAATTATTATGTTTCTTAGTACTATAATTATTATGTTTCCAACAGTAGTAATTGTTACTTTGTTTATGTAATATACAAGCCTTTCTTATATTTTAAGATGGTTTCACTTTCTATTTAAATGTGTCCAAGCCATTTTAAGTTTTTAATCTGACTTGGAGGAAGCAGGGAAGGGGTGGGAGGGGGTGATGAATGTATGTAGAGGATAAATAGAAGATAAACGATATCCTTGAAGCAATGGTGGCTTCCTTATTATCTTGGTAACATTAGGCTTGGCATTAAAGCCAGGGATTGTCTAGGTTCTCCTGACAGTCACAAGGCTTCATTAGCCTCTGCCTTTACACCTTGGGTCTGACTCAATGACATGAGTGCAAAGTGAATATGAAACGCATGCTCTGGCTTTTCATTAGGAACAAAGACGAGGCTCAGTGCAGCCGAAAACTGGGCCCTCCTGCTCTGGCTTGCTAGCATTGTGTATTTGTTTGACTGGGGTGTAATTGACTGTCTAAGGTGTATGGCCAGGGATCAAATTCTGATTTCGGGTTGGAATACTCAGGACTTAATCCATTTCCCTGGAGCAACTTAGACTCTTATCAGTGTCGCTCAGCGCTGAATTTGGGCAAGGGCATGGCATTGGTAGCCAGGGCTGTTGCACAGCTCTGGAGTGCTGATATGGTTCACCCCAGGCAGGCCCAGCCTAATCTTGCAGTCGGGTTAGGCTGTTAGTCTTTGCCATAGCAGGAGCCTAATTTGGCGTTTCTGCCTGTCTGTCTGTGAAGAAAAGAGTCAGGCCATACCATGGTGGAATGGCTCATCATCATTGCCTCACTGCCAGGATGTGCACATAATGAGATAACTATGAGTTCGTCTCCTGGCTCTGTCAGGTGATGGTTATCACCTTGGGCCAGCCAGTCCATTCTCCCAGGTTTCATTTCTGCATAAGGGATCATGGAGGTGATTATGCCTTCCTGCGTTGTGCAAGTTGGCTATCATTTACAATGTGTTGTAAGGATGAAAAGTATTAAGAACCATGGTTATTTATCCTCTCTCAGCTTTGATGGTGGTCTTGATATTTTTTTCCTTTCTCTGATTCCTTCCTCCCAGTGAGTTGCTGCCTTTCTCTGTCTCTCTTTGTGAAAAGTGTCAGCATAATCACTATGGTATCATTTTCACTAAGAAAGACACATAAAAACAAGCCAATCCAAATCTGAGAACCAAACTGTATAGCTCAAAAACCAATCCTAATTCCACCCATAGTAATCCATGCATGATGGCATAATTTTTAGTGTAAATGCACCCATTTTAGGGTTGTTTGTTTTTAAAGAATAAAAAACTTGCCTTAAAGTGGCTTTGCAGCAGATTGCACTTAATTTTCATATTTCTACTCCATACCTTGTTTTCTTTGCTCTTAACCTCTCTGTCTCTTTCCTTCTTTCTCATTCTCCTAGCTGTGTCTGCATTTAATTTCTTCCTTCTCTGTCTGTTCCCTAACCTCCATTTTATTTCCCCTTTCCAGTAATTTTTCACTTTGCAAAGAACAATCTGTCTGAGGGAACAATACACTCAGGCCTACTATTCCACAAAAGGTCAGCAGGGGTTCCTCAAAAGACTGGGAGTAATGGCAGAATGTGCTGGGAGGTGGTGCACTGCCATTGCTGGACCAGGTCGCCTGCCTCCACTTCTGTTCACAGGACAAGGGTAGGGGTTTCACATCAGAAGTGATATGAAAGAGTTCCATGACTATGAAAGTTTGAAAAACACTGCTCTATTCCATGCAAGCCAGGGAGTTCTGCTTAGAGATCATGGGCAAGGTCTTATATCTAATAGATGGGTCTTCAGGAGAGTGCTTGTTTGTAAGTTAGAGGCAGGAGGAGTCTTCCTCAAAGCACAGAGCTAGATGTGCTTCACATCCCAATGAATAAGGCTTTAGAAGGCATAAGCTTTTTTCAAATAGCCTGATTCTTATGT